ATATAAGGTTATTAATGAAGAAAACCCATCTGGATAACAGCAGACTGACTGCATGTAAAATATACGACCGTGAATTTTGTTCATATCTGAAAAAAATCTTAGAATACGAAAACATTGGTGAATGCCACAAATTCTCCTAAATCACTCGTACGCACAATTTAAGAACAAATCTGTGCGTACCAACGGTTCTTGCATGAGGCCCATTGACCTAAAATTTGGTGTGGTAGTGGCTGAGACTCATTCCCATAATAGTTTCCAAGTGCTACTCATCACGCAAGATCTTAGCTTAAAACTTTAACATTAACTGTTGGCAAAATATACATCATATCCTTCTTAATGCATTGAGGGAAATAAAAGTAGGAGGGAAACACACAAAGCTCATGCAGAATTGCTCGGACTGTTAATTGAGATGTTGACATATCGTCATCATCAACAGCTGACATTTTCTTCCCGCTCCGCTGTGACAGGATTGCACAAGGCTGCACTGAGAGTGACCTTGCTAATTATTGCTCCTGTTTCGTTGTTTCAACAAATTCTGAGAAGTCCTGCTGACGTCAAATTCAGCAGATAAATCACTCAAAGTTTATGTGAAGAATATTATTTTATCTGCCTTTGTTCCAAGTTCTATTACAATCTGAAATGTCCAAGTATGTTTTTTTTTTCTCTACGGAATTGCCCATGGTGAAAATGATTTAACAATATGTTGACACTCGTCTTCGTCATTTGATACATTTCACACGTTGTCATTTGTTGAGGGGCTTTGTTTACAAAACAGATGTCCACTTTTTTTTAAATTCGTCATTCATTTTATGGATTTCCATGACACATGAAGTTTGATTTGATGTTGCAGTTTGGTGACATGATTCTGATTTTACTGGATTTAGTAAAATTTTAGGATACAAGATGCTTCCAAACAAAAAGGAAAGTGGATCATTTCTGAAAATTTCATAGTGATACATCTTCAAAATATTATTATGACTAAAACAAACAAAAAATAATAACAAAATAAACAAAACTATGAAACAGTCACAAAGGTCCCTGTTAGTACGAATTACAGCAGAAATCATGAGCTTGATTATCCGCACAAAAACATCAATAACTTCCTTCATACTTTACTTCATCACGTGATTTTGATGTTATTTTAAAGGGTTTTTTACTGTTCTTTTTGAATTCACTGTAAACATGTGTGAATATTCATTTATAAAGCTTATCAAAGTCTTTTTTCTGCACAGAGAAAAGATCTTGGTGTTATGTAAAAACTATTTTTTTATCTGTCCTGTGTTTTTTTATGTGCAAACAGTCTTCTTTCCATTGAATCCAACCATCACAGGAGCCAGGATGCTGCCACCTTAAATCTCCTCCAGCACTGAGTTGTATCGCTGTTCTGTTGGGCTTTGCAGGCTACTACAGTACAGTTGGTGTCAGGTATAGACAACAAAGAAGCAGCTCCAGCCAAATCCCCCCTGCATCTAGCCAGGATTACATAATTTCTCTTGTGGCTGTGGCAGAAAACCACAGCCAGGTTAAACAGCAGGAAATCCTCTAAAGCCAGTTTTGTGTTGTGTTGTGTTGTGTTGTGTTGTGTTGTGTTTTGTTGTGTTGAGTAAAACGAAGCTCTCTCAAACAGCATTGCTCAAAAGTAAGCAAATACGTATAAGCAAAGGCTAAACAGTTGAATTAACAGTGACCTCTGCACCTTGGAGCAGTGAAATGACAATCATTTAAAAACAAATGCTGTAGATAAACCCCTGCATGTGAGACGCTTGTTTTTCTCCCTCCACACCTGCTCTCTATGACCTAACCCCACACACCTTGGTCAGCTGAGCTATCTTCTTGCTCATCTTCAGATGGAGGTCCTGGGTGTATTCAAGCGTTAAGCTGCCGTCGTAAAACATGCCGCTGGACGCCGGACAGGAGCTGCATTTGCCGCCGCCGCTGCCGCTGCTGGTCGAGGTGTTGTACGGAGGAGGAGGAGGAGGAGGCTGCCAGCCCGCTCCCGTCGCCATTTTTCGCCCGGGAATTAAAAACCCCCGAAACACGACGGTGTGGACCGTGAGTGGGGGTAAAAAAAAACAATAATAATAACTATAAAATGGAGGAGGAGTGGGGAGTCGCTAGGCGTTAGGTTCTCCCATCGTTTCCGTCTGCGGTTGAGCGTCTTCGGCGGCGGTGCGGGAGGGGAAAACACGCAGGAGCTGCTGGGACAGGCGGCGGGGCGCGAGACCGTTCCACACGCATCCTCATGGCGGGCGCGAGCGGCTGGAGTGAAAAGGGGGACGCGCGCCAGATGCTTGTTTCAGTGTAGCGCGCGCTCAAGTTGAGGATAAATGACGTTCTTCTGTGTGCCCAAACAAAGAATAAAATACACAGCTTTATTGAAGGAATGCATGTTGCCCGCCTCCTGTCGTAGTTTTGTCCGGTCAAACCTTAAAATAAGGCGATCTCGCGTGATTTTACCAGATCTATCAGCAGTCAAAGTATGGCCCTCGGCTACTACCAGATCAAACTTCAGTCCACTAGTTGTAAATGTGACTTATAGACATGTTTGTGCTTGTTAAAACCGATTAACCTGTGTGACAGTTTTGTGTAGTAGCTACTAGTACATCAGTACTAGTAACAGCGATTACGTAATGAGTGTTTCATTGAAATCTGTTCTGTGATTCATGAGATATTTTGCTAACAGAAGTGCTGACTACAAAGCCAGAGTTTGAAGCAAAAGAATGTGTTGCTGCTCCTCTGCATCATAAGTATGGAAGCGATTGTGTTCCATAATCCTAATTAAAATGGATTAATAGAAATGCTGTTTCATTTTGAACATGTACCTGATTTTAATCCATTTTAATTAGGATTATGGAACACAATCGCTTCCATACATAAGGAGTCAGTTGAGGTGGTTCAGGCGTCTGATGATCAGGATGCCTTTCTTTAGAGCATATGTCAAACTCCAGGCCCACGGGCCAAATCTGGCCCTCGTTATTATTTTGTCTGGTCCCAAAGTTAGTATTTTTTTAAAAATCTGGTTTATTTTTCATCACTGTAAACCTAGTGATGAAAAAATAAACCAGCTTTGTTCTCTAGCTCTTCTTCTCTCAACTATATATGTATTCTCTCTCTCTCTCTCTCTCTCTCTCTCTCTCTCTCTCTCTCTCTCTCTCTCTCTCTCTCT